CTCAGTATCTTCAGCCAAAACCAGGCCAGGAACTGATTGCGGAACAGAACATCAACTATGCATATGCAAGTTCAACTTGAAGTTAAAGATAGTTTAAAAAAAAGTCTGCGAGAGCCAAAACATGACCTTGAATATATCTCTCCTGAATTTAGAGACCATCTAAAGAATAGATTTGATGCATTGAACACCAATGACTGAAAACCAGAAGAATTGTGGGATGACATCAAGAATATCATCCATGAAGAAAGCAAGAGGTCACTAAAAAGATGAGAAAAGAAGAAAAGACCAAAATGGATGACAGAGGAGACTCTGAAACTTGCCCTTGAGCAGAGAGTTGCTAAAGCTAATGGAAGAAATGACAAGGTAAAAGAGCTGAACAGAAGATTTCAAAGAGCAGCTGGAGAAGACAAAGCCAATTACTATAATGAAATGCACAAAGGGAAAAATGCTTGGCATTTCTCAAGCTGAAAGAACTGAGGAAAAAATTGAATCCTCGAGTTGCAATATTGAAAGATTCTATGGACAAAATGTTGAATGATGCAAGAAACATCAAAAGAAGATGGAAGGAATACACAGACTCACTGTACCAAAAAGAACTGGTAGATCATCCATTTCAGGAGGTGGCATATGATCAAAAACCAATGGTATTGAAGGAAGAAGTCAAAGCTGCACTGAAAGAATTGGTGAAGAACAATGCTCCAGGAATTGACAGAATACCCACTGAGATGTTTCAACAAATGGATGCCCCACTGGAGGCACTCACTCAGCTATGCCAAGAGATTTGGAAGACAGCTACCTGGCCAACTGACTGGAAGAGATCCATATTTGTACCCATTCCAAAGAAAGGTGATCCCACAGAATGTGGAAATTATTGAACAATATCATTAATATCTCATGCAAGTAAGATCTTAACTGAAGATAATTCAAAGATGGTTGCAGCAGTATATTGACAGAGAACTTCCAGAGGTGCAAGCTGGATTCAGAAGAGGGTGTGGAACAAGGGATATCATAGCTGCTGTCAGAGGGATCTTGGCTCAAAGCAAAGAATACCAGAAAGATGTTTACTTGTGTTTTATTGACTGTGCAAAGGCATTTGATTGTGCAGATCATAACAAATTGTGGGTGACACTGAGAAGAATGGGAATTCCCAAACACTTGATTGTGCTCATGAGGAACCTGTACATTGGCCAGGAGGCTGTTGTTCAAACAGAACAAGGGGACACTGCATGGTTAAAATCAAGAAGGGAGTGTGTCAGGGTTGTATCCTTTTCCCATACTTATTTGATCTGTATGCTGAGCAAATAATCTGAGAAGCTGGACTATATGAAGAAGAGCATGGCATCAAGATTGGAGGAAGAATCGTTCACAACCTGCAATATGCTGATGACACAACTTTGCTTGCTGAAAGTGAGGATGACTTAAGTCACTTACTGGTGAAGATTAAAAGAATGCAGTCTGCAGTATGGGTTACATCTCAATATAAAGAAAACAAAAATCTTCACAACTGGACCTACAAGCAGCCTCACGATAAATGGAGAAAAGATTGAAGTTGTCAAAGACTTTACATTGCTTTGTTCTAGTTGGCTCTGAGTTGTAGTGACCCTGTGTACAAGAGAACGAAACACTGCCCAGTCTTGTGCCATTCTCACAATCCTTGTTAATCCTTGAGTCTATCATTGCAGCCACTGTGTCAATCCATCTTGTTGAGTGTTGTCTTCTTTTTCACTGACCCTCTACTTTACCCAGCATGATATCCTTCTCCAGGGAATGATCCCTTCCGACAGTAGGACCAAAGTGGGTGAGACAAAGTCTGGCCATTCTTGCTTCTAAGGAGCATTCCAGCTGTAGTTCTTCCAGAACAGATTTATTTGTTTTTCTGGCAGTCCATGATATTTTCTGTATTGTTTGCCAGAGCCACAATTCAAAGGCATCTACTTAGTCTTCCTTATTCATCACCCAGCTTTTACATTCATATGAGGCGATTGAAAACACCATGGCTTTGGTTAGATACTCCTTAGTCTTCAAAGTGACATCTTTACTTAGCACTCTAGAGAGATCTTTTGCAGCAGATTTGCCCAGTGCAATACGACATCTGATTTCTTGACTGCTGCTTCCATGAGATTGTGCATACAAGTAAAATGTTTAGGATTTCCTATTCAGGTTTGAAAATGCCATTCTCCATTCTTCTCTTTGAGATCCTCTTCTCAAATACTGGTTGAGAGGGTGGGGGTGCTGCCTTTACCACTGGACTGAGGGTAGAAGTCTAGACTCCTCACTTAGGTCTCCACTGATGCCTTCCTTGGGCCTCCTATTGCTGCCGGGAGGGAGGGTGGAAGTTCAGATTCCCTACTTGTTCTCCAGTGATACTGTGGGGACTGGGGTTTTATCAATGGTGTTTTGCTGGTATTATCAAAGGATCTCTGAACTGCTCCTTTTTCAGTACTTTGCTTAGAGAGAACAAGTTTTTCTGGGACTTTTTTGTGTCTGTACATATGGTTGGTTCTGGGTTGTAAGCTTCTCCAGAGCCTGTTCTCCAATATATAGGATATAAAAAGGAAGCCCAGGGGACTCACTACCATGTTGTTACTCAAATACTGAGGTCTGTAGCCAGTCCATCTTCCTCTTTTCTCCTTTCAGAGTTCTCTTAGGATTGTCTGTTGTATTATATGCAGGGTTTTTAGTTGTACTTCATGGGGAAGAATAGGAGGAAATGAGTGTATTCCATCTTGTCTAGAGTCAGAATCTTTTGTCACGTATTTTCAATTTCTGTTCTAGATGCGTGCACATTTAGGATTGCTGTGTCTTCTTGGTGAATTGACCCCTTTATCATTATGAAATTTCCCACTTTGTCCCTGATAATATTCATTGTTCTGATGTCTGCTTTGCCTCATGTAGCCACTCCAGGTTTCTTTTTATTAGTGTTTAAATGATACATCTTTTTTCATACTTTTGTTTTTAACCTATCTGTGTCTTTTATTTAAGATAGTTCTTTGTTGATATCATACAGTTTTGTCTCGTTTTTCATGCAGTCTGACATTGTCGTAATTGGTGCTTTTTGACCATTTACATTTAATGTAATTATTGATACAATTGACTTTAAATATAACATGTTGCTAGTTGTTTTCTGTTTGTTCCATCTGCTCTTTTATTCTCTTTTTGCTCTCATTTGGGTTAACTGAACATTTTTTATTATATTTTATTTCTACCCTTGGCTAATAATTTTACCTGGATTTTTAAAATAACTTCAGGAGTTTTTTTTAGGATTTCCAATGTTATTGTTGTTATGTGCTGTCGAGTCGGCTCCGACTCATAGCGACCCCTCCTAGGGTTTCTGAGGCAGTATCACTACGGAAGTAGATTGCCCAACCTTCCTTCCAAGGAGTGGCTGGTGGGTAGGATTTCCAATATATATCCTTAATTAATCACAGTCTTCTGTTGTGCAAGGAGCTCTGGTGGCGTAGTGCCTAAGGCACTTGACTGCTAACCAGAAGGCTGGAGATTCAAACCCACCAGTCACTCCTTGGAAGGAAGGTTGTGCAATCTACTTCTGTAGTGATACTGCCTTGGAAACCCAAGGAGGGGTTGCTATGAGTAGGATCTGACTTGACGGCACAAAGCAACAACAACAGGTATTGTGCAGATACTCAGGACTGGGCAGTGTTTTGTTCTGTTGTACATGAAGTCGCTGTGAGTTGGTCACTATGAGAACCACACAACAGTATATTCCCAAATTCTAACTACTGTTCTTTGTACTATTGTTGTCATATGTTTTACTTTTATATATGCTGTTAACTCAATATATGGCTGTTGTTTTTGGGTTAAAGAATCAATTGTCTTTTTTCCTTTTAAGAGGCAGTTATCTTTTTACACAATTAGAAATACGGGAGAAAACGATATTTTATATTTGTCTTCATTTTTACCATTTCTAGCACTCTTTATTTCTTCTTGGAAGTAAAAGTTTATTTCTGGTTTCGTATTCCTTTTGCTTGAAGAATTTCTTTGAACACGTTTTAGTGCAGGTCTCCTAGTAATAGATTCAGTGTTTGTCTCAAAGTCTTAAATTTTCTTTCACTCTCAAAAGATATTTTCATTGGGTATAGAATTCTAGATTGGCAGTTATTTTCTTTCAGGACTTTAAAGATGTCATTCCTTTGTCTTCTGACAGGATGGGTGCTGCAATTCTTTATTTTTCTTTATGCAATGTGCCTTTTTTTCTCTGGCTGCTTCAAGATTTTCTCTTTGTATCTGCACGTGTTATTCCAACCTTTTTTTTTTTTATGTCCTATTTGGTGTTCTCTGTGCTTTTCCTGTGTTTGTTGTTTGATGTCTTTCAGTAGTTTTGGTAAATTTTGGCCATTAGCTCTTTATATATTATTTTTGTTCTGGGATTTCTATTACATGTGTGTTAAACCTTTTGGTGGTGCCCCATAGCTCTTGAATGTTCTGTTCTGATATTAACATCCCCCCATTTCAGTAGGAGCCCCGGTGGCACAGTGGTTAAGCATTTAGCTGTCTCCTTTTTTCTCTTTGTATTTCAGTGAGATAATCAAGTTGCTCTCATTTTGAAGTCATTTATTCTTCCCTAATGTCCCTAGGGCAAGCTCTGGCAGCATAGTGCCTAAAGCACTTGACTGCTAACCAGAAGGCTGGCGGTTCAAACCCACCAGCCACTCTTTGGAAGGAAGGTTGGGCAATCTACTTCTGTAGTAATACTGCCTCAGAAACCCAAGGAGGGGTCGCTATGAGTGGAAGATGACTCAATGGCACATAATAACAACAACAGTTATATTTTGAACTGTTACACATGTATAAGAGTTCATTGTTCTATCCTTTTAGCCTTTTATTTTGAAATAATTTTAGACTTGCAGAAAAGTTGCAGAAAGAGTACAGAGTCCTCATATACCTGTCACTCAGCTCCCTTTAATGTTATCAACCTACATAATCTTAGTATTATGAAAAACCATGAAACTAACATTGATTGTATGTCTTTATTTTAACAGCTGCTGAAATAGTTAAAGAAATTGAAAATTTAGAGAAGACTAGACTACGCCTTGAAGCCAACCAACTCAATGAAACTGTATGTTGATGGTATCTATTTCAGTATCTTGATAGAAAGAAAGGAAATAAAAGTTTAATACCCTAATAATACTAAAGCCAGCCTTTATTAAGTCTGTTCAATGGGGGACTTCCATAAAACATATTAGTAGCTTGCAGCTCATTTTTAACACAAAATATAATCTGTATTTAGCAGTTTTCTAGCACAAACAGTAATCCCAAATAAAGTTATTACTGAATTAATTTATTCAGTATCTATTAATAAACTAGAGTCTTGTGAAGAAAACATATGCCTGTGCATCAGGTAGCTTTAATAATGATCCTTTCTCTACCGGAGGTCTTTGTTAAGCTATTTAACTTCTGTGGCCCTTAGGGACTTTATCTGTAAAATTAAGGGGTTGAAATAATGAACTCCAAGACCCCTTTTAGCTCTGGCAATCTGCAGTCCTGCGATTCTGCCTATGGAGAAATTAAGAAAATTTTAACAATTTGTGACGATTGAAAAATCTTTTGAGGGAATCAGAAACCTACAAGTCTTCCCTGTTGCCTTCTTCTAGTTGGATGGTCCAAAACTTGAGGAAAGAGTTACCAAAGAAGAAAATAGTCACTGTGTCCTGTGACACTGAAGGAAGTGTTTTGGGGTCTCCTAAGTGGACTCTTTTTTTTTTTTCCCCAAAACCATTTGTAATGAGTTTGTAAGGGAAGCAGCAGCCTTAGTGAGTAAGCTTATAACTGATAGTAGGAAAAAATGGGTTTTCCACTGATTTTGTTACCTGTGCAGCCTGTAATTTATTACAATTACCATTGTAATAAATCATATAAGTGTGTTTATGATCTTTAAACGTAAGTTGAAAAAAAAATGGAAGTAGACATTTTATGCACTATACTTATGTTAGGAGCTCTGGTCATGTAGTGGCTAAAGCATTTGGCTGTTAACCAAAATGTTAGTGGTTTGAACCTACCACTGCTCCATGGAAGAAGGATGAAGCAGTCTGCTTCCATAAAGATTTGCAACCTTAGAAACCCAATACGGGTAATTATGAGTCAGAATCAACTTGATGGCAGTGAGTTTGGTTTAGTTTGACATACTTCTATTATTGCATTTGCTTTATGTATTTCTTTTCTAGTATGACTTGGAGAAGTTAGGTGGGAATTGAGAGATAGGAGACAAGAGCTTCTTTATTAATGGAAAAGCTATATTTCTTTAGTCTTATTTCAAGTATTTCTTTTTTTTTTTTTAAATTTTATTTTGACTTGGGTGAAGATTTACAGAGTAAATTCACTTTTCATACAGCAGTTCACATATACTTTGTCTCATGTCATTGACC